AGGATGGACCTGCGGCTTCAGGCTGAGCTGCAAGTGCATTCTGACACAGCAGGTTCTCTGGGTTTGGGGGTATTTTTCCGCGGACACTGGTGTGTGGAAGATTGGCCCCCTGATTGGGTCGAGGCCGGTCTCAGCCAGGACCTCACTTTCCTGGAGTTTTTCGCCATACTGGTGGCTGACTGGCTTTGGGGTGATGCCTTTGCGGTCATAGGCTGCGGTCACACGGAGCATTAGCCACGCTACAGAGATGGAAGATAGGCGGATTTTCTGGGCGCGATCACACCACAACATCTGGGAAGCGTAGAGCTCCCGTGGCGAACCTGAGGCTTCTCGCCGAAGATGCGGCTTTAAAAGCTAGTACCTCTGAGGTACTAGTTTCCGGAAACTGTGGGGCAAGGGCGGGCGTCTGATCGTGTTTCCCGTTCACACATTTTTTGTCTCCGCTCAGGAAGGGAGGTGGCTCCAGAGCAAACTGATTGATGCAGCGGCCAAATGGCTCGCTCACCACTTTAATGCCAGGAGCTCACCGGATTTTTGCTCGCAAGACTCTGTAGTTTAGAGGGCGCATTGGTGGCCACCCTAGGATGGCCACGGCTTGGCACGACGACGCTCCCTCCCTCCCACGGTGCATGGCTTACTTCTAAGGAGACCTGGGGGGGGATTTCTGGCTACTGTACCGCTTCTCTCGGCTGTTGCTTATCCGGAGACTTCCCTGTTCGCCCTCCCCTGACACGCATGAGCACGCGCAGAGCCCCCTCCTCTTTTCCGTACCCCCCCACTCCTGGCTCAGCCTGCTCGAAATGAACTCTCTGCACCAGGCGGCAGAGGGGGAGGTGCGGGGGGGCATGGCGGGAGGATGGTCCGGCTGAAGCTCCTCCTGGAGGGGACCGGAGGACACAGTTTGCATTCCTCTGCAGCCCTGGAAGGGGTTAAACCCGTGTGATCGGCACCTCCCCCCTAACCACAGGACCTCGACGGGACCTCGACGGGATGTCTGATTGCGCAGCCGCGCGTTATTTTGCTCCGGGGCAAACAGCCACGCTTCCCCACCACATTTTCCGGCCCGTGTGACCGGAGTCATAGAGTTCATTTTTGGTGTGATATCTTAGCGGTTGTCCATGTTATTAACTCTTTATAATCCAGGTCCCCACGCATTATGGACCTGGTCAGAGCCTTCACACTGCGTTGTCTGAGACTTAATATTTTGTTCTTGGCCAGGCATGTTCCAGGGGTTGATAACAGGGTGGCTGACACTCTCTCTTGCAAACACATGAAGAGATTTTGTCAGCTGGCCCCTGGAGCCGATCTTCATCTGGCAAGGATCCCCCCAGAACTGTGGCAGCTTGGAAGGCAGCGGCCTGCAGAGCGATAGGCCTTGCCATAGCCCCCAGTACCAGAAAATCTTATGAGCAGGCAGTACACCAATTTGAAGAGTTTAGGACAGAGGTAGGGTACCAGGTGCTTTGGCCCTTTCCAGTGGAGCAATTGCTCCACTACTGCATTGATTTGAAAGGTAAGGGGCTTGCAGTGTGTTCCATCAGGGCCTTGCCATAGCCCCCAGTACCAGAAAATCTTATGAGCAGGCAGTACGCCAATTTGAAGAGTTTAGGGCAGAGGTAGGGTACCAGGTGCTTTGGTCATCTTTCAGCCCTGGCCTTTGCCAGCAAGGCGTTGCGGTACTGAGAGGACACCAATGACTTTTGGCTTAGAAAAATGCTTGAGGGATGGTCCAGGGAAGATGGCTGGCGGATGGACACCAGGCAGCCAATATCTCCAGCTATACTCAAGGGCCTGAGAGTGGTTTGGGGCCAGGTGTGTACCTCAGAATTTGAGGCATGTCTCTTTCACGCAGTGGCTCTGGTGGCCTTCTTTGGGGCCCTCAGGGTCAGCGAGTTGGTCGCGCAGTCCAAGGGTGACTTTTCCAGTCGTGCCTTGCTTATGGTGGACCTTACCATGAATTCCAGACGGGCTTTCATCAAGGTGCGGTGCTCCAAGACTGATCAGCACCAAAGGGGCTCTACGCTCAGTTTGGGCCCCTGTTCAGATCCTGAGCTATGCCCAGTGTCAGTCCTTGTCAGCTACTTAGCAGTTCAGGGGAGGGGTGATGGCTGGTTGTTTCGCCATGAAGATGGCAGTCTGCTAACAAGGCACCAATTTTGGGCAGTGACCACACGGGCCCTATCGAAGTTGGGCTTGTCGGGGTGAAATTTGGCACCCATTCCTTTCAGATTGGGGCGGAATCCACTGCTGCGGCCATGGGTTATTCTTCCCCTGACATTCAGTGGTTGGGTAGGTGGAGCTCCGCTGCCTATAAGTCTTATGTGCACCCCTTTGTTTCCTCTTAAGGTGTTTTTTGGGCTAACTGTTGTTTCCCTCTTAGGTTGTATTGGGGCCGCTGAGAGGAAGCAGGTTCTCATCTGTGGCCACAGTTTTGTTTTTGGGGCGGCACATCAGGCACGGAGAACTTCGTTTGGATCTCAGCTGGGCCTCAGTCAGTGGGCCACCATTGAATGGCGGGGGGACCATGGCCTTCACTGGGCGGGCCTTCTGCATTTGTTGTTTCACGGGCCCACAAGCCTTCCCCCCAACTTGCTGGTGGTGCACCTGGGAGGTAATGACCTGGGATTGGTCAAGGGTAAAGCCTTGACTCTCCAGGATATTGAGGATTTGCAGGTCATACGGGCGTGTTGGCCCAATGTTAGTATAGTATGGACAGCCATGATTTCCCGGAGGGTCTGGCACGACATCATGAGCCCATTGGGGATTGATTGGGCCCGCCAGAAGGCTAATAGGGATAGTAAGAAAGTTCTAGATGCTGAGTTGGGCCTCTTTATGGCCCATCCACGCATTCATCTGGAATGCATGGAGCTTTATAGGCAGGATGGGGTACACCTCTCTGAGAAAGGCAATGACATCTTCTTGGAGAACCTACGGCAAGGGCTTTGTGAGGCATTAAGCCTCTCGGTGGGGGCATCGGCCTAAGCTGAGGCTTGACCTCGGCTGTGGCAGGATTGCGGCTGGTGACCGATATGCGGCTAACGGGGGGCCCCTAAGCTGAGGCTTGACCTCGGCTGTGGCAGGATTGGGGCTGATGACCGATATGCGGCTAACAGGAGCACCAATTAATTACTTCAGTTGGCGATAGGAGTTTGGCCGGATTAGCCTTTAGGTTGGGCGACCCGGGGTAAAGATGGCACACTGCTTTTGGGATTGCATGGACTGATTGGCCGCTTAAGTTCTACAACTTGGGGCTGGATCTCCAGGGCATGTCTTTCGTTGTGCCTGCTGGCAGTGAGCCACATAGGTTGGCTCAAGCTGGAGGTGGGTGGCTCCATGTCCTAAAACTGGGGAAGGGTTAACACTGACCCTTGGCCTGGATCGTGCCGCATTCCATATTTTGCCCTTGCCGTTAATTTCAGTTGTTAATTTAATAAAGTGACCATAGTTCATCCAACCTTCTGTGTCTGACTCTTTATTCCAAGTATGGGGGCAAATTCAAATAGGGTATTTCATTGCACTTTCAGGTTGTCATTCCAGCCACAGATCACTGATTCTGATCTCAAGAACCATCTTTCAACTCTGTGATCCATCATTCCCGTCCCAAAATAATTTCTCTACTCTCATGGACCACTCTTCCATTGTGGTGGCTGTCATTCCAGTCCCAGAATAGTTTCTCTACTCAAAGGGACTATTCTTCAAATCTGGTGACTGTCATTTCAGTACCAAAACACTTAATGCCAAACCCTGTGATTGTCATTCCACTCTAGGGCTGTAATTCCGGAGCCAGAAGACTCACGCTACTCCCAGGGGCTGTTATTCCACTCTGGGGTCTGTCATCCCAGTGCCAGAACACTTAACACCACACCCTAAGACTGTCGCTCCACTCTTGGGGCTATTATTCCAGGCCCAGAGCACTGATTTCACTCCCAGACCCCATGGGGACTGACTTTCAATGCAAAAAGGAAAGTTTCTCAAAACTGTAATGTCTTTCAATGGAACCCATGCAAGTCAATTCTTCACTCCTATTGTATTCTGTGGCATTATATCAGGCATATCTCTTTTTTCCCAATGGGCATTCATGTCATTCTTTTTAGTACATCCCACCACAGGTCAGCGTTACAGCACGACTTGCACAGAAAAAGGCACTCAGGTTCACTCTCCAGTATCTGAAGCAGCAGCGGGTTAGAAAGAACCTTCAGAGACTGACGGCTTGAACAGCTGCAAAAAATGCTGGGCTGGTTGGGCCCAATGGCCTGTCTCAGTCGGTGACGCAGGTCCCCTGAAGAAAGGACACAGAAATTTTCTAAGTAATAAATAAATACCAGGAATCCACACAGATAGCGCCAAAAAGCTGATCTCCCACTTATTGTTGTAAACTGACCTCCCACTTATTGTTGTAAGCCGCCCTGAGCCGCTTCGGCGGGAGGGCGGGATAAAAATCAAATAAATAAAATAAAATAATAAAATAAAAAAAACACCAAACCCTCAAAACACGCCGCGCGTGTGATAAAGGAACTCTTAGGGCATGTAAGCAAAGCGGAAAGCGCGCAGCGGCTTTGTCAATTGCTCTTTCGTCTATTACTACCGAAAGCGCGACCGGGGCGCTGCGAATCGCGCTTCCTACTACCAAAATACTCGCACAATTGCTACCAACGAAACTGAAAGGTTTCAACGATTTGCGTACGCTACGCTTCGCAGCCGCCGTGATTCCTCAGCATACGTCACGCGGCAGCCAGCGCCTCTGGGGGTGCGCCGTCTGATCCACGTGACAGCACTGGGGGGAGGGTCCCCCCGCTCCGGGGAAAAGAGGGGCTCCGGGGGGGGGGGGGGACAAAAAAGAGAACAAGCCCGAACTGCCTTTTCGAACTCTCCTCCCTAATCCCGCACGTGACCCCGCCCCGGAACGTGGCATTGTGTAATCACGTGACCCGTGCGGGAAGGGGGAGGTTGGCCGTTGAGCGAGGGATAGTGGGGGGGAGGGGGGCTGCGTACGCGACGGAGCGGGGTGCGAAGATGGCGGACGAGGACGCCGAGCAGGACAGCGGGAGCAGTCTTGGAGCTGAGAGCGGCCTCCTGGACATGCAGCAACTGAAGGAGCGGCTATTATCGCTGGAGAGGGCGCTGAAGGAGAGCGACGAGACAGGCGTAGAAGCGGCCACTGAGTACTGTCAGCAGCTCTGCCAGGTCAGGACGGGCCGAGTGGCCTCTGGGGCGGGAAGGTCTCCCCTTGCGGGGGAGGCTGATGGGCAAGTAAGGTGCCGTTGAAGCGGCCCATGCGCTCTTGGTCCTTCTGCTGTTTTTCATTGATACCGCCTCGAGGCGAGGCAGGCGGGCGGGCGGCCCAAAGCGGCCCGCCCCCCTGTGCCGGGAGGGGAGCGACTCACGGCTCCATAATCCCCTCCCCCAGCTGCTTTAAGAACAACCCCCCCCCCGCGCGCGCGCGCCTCGCTCAACTGTCGCGCTCTCCGTTCGGCCCCTTTGTTGTCCTGGTGCCGCCTCGGCTCTGGAGGGGCCATTGTCTGCCGCTGCTGGCGACGCCGAGTTTGGATCTCTGGCCCGCAGCATTAGCAGCAGCAGCAGCGCGAAGGAGGGGAGGGGTGGGGGGGATAGTTCTGGGGGGTGTTTTAAAAACCCCCCCCCCCCCCCCCCCCGTACCTCTGCGCTCCAGGTGAGAGGACGAGGTTTCGCTCTTCACTCTGGTGCCGTGATCATGTAGTCCCTGGACTTTGCACAGAGCAGAAGAGTAGCTTACACTTGCCCCCTAAGTGAGACCGAGGAGGCTCAGTAAGGACTGCCATGAAACTCCCATCGTCCCCTATTCATAACACTCCGCTGATCCGGCAGTCTAGCTTCCGGAGTATCCTTGTGTGTGTCTATTGTTTTGGCTGCCTGGCCGTCTGATTTTGGAACCGCCCTTAGATCTTGTCAATTAACTCACCTTACTTTATTCTTTCCCCCTTTATGCATACCCTACAGTATGTTCCTCTTTCACTTCTGTTCTAAAGAATGAGATACATTTATGGCGGTTGAAATGCTTTGTAGCAGCCACTACACACTAGCATAGTTGTATTGATTTGCAAATGGACACTTAGCTGCCAATCAACATTAGTTCTCTTAATCATTGCAAGAATTCCAGCAGCCTTATATTTCAGTATGTACTGCACTGGAGGGAGAAGGTTTATAAAGGCAGCTGAGTGATTCAATACAAGTTGAGGAGGGTTTTTTTATTATTTCATTTATAGCATGCCTTTCTTCCATGGTGAAACTTGGGGCCTAGTTCTTCAGCATGGTTTATCCAAGTGACAGTTTACAAGACTTTGTAGTTAATAGGCACTTCTATCATTGAAGGCAATATCAAAATAATTGTAAATGTCTTCAACTTATGTGAGAAAATAATTCTTTGGGACAGTATTTCAAGACCTTTTTGTAGTGAAACCTGGTACAAATCAGTCATTTGAGTTCATTGAAGGGGGGAGATTCCTGGCGATCACATTGTACAATATCTGTAAATGTTTACCTCTTCCTTGTATTTTAAGCATTTCCAAATGTAAGCAACTTGTGTGTCATATTTTCACTGCTTTTTCCTTATAATTGAGGATCTCTAGAACAATATGGAGAAACCTAAGTAAATCAACTTACAGATTTATAAGAAAGGTGTATGCCTGTTGGTCGACAGAATGTAGATAAAAACAAAGAATCAGCATTGAATACCATGATTCAGAGTGCTAAATGCAAGCTCTTGCTTAAATGAGTATGTATTGTACGGAATAAATTTTTGGCTTAGAAAATGGAAATTAATCTCTAAGAAACAGCTTGTAGATGTAGCCTTTTAGTAGACATAGTTTGAAGCAGTAGTTTACTGTCCTTGCAGTACACCCGCAGTTGTTTTGTTGGTGGGGAAATCTGCAATTCTGGAAATCAACTTAATTGAAATCCAGAATTTTTACTATTACATTTCAGTTTTTTAAAACTGCGATGGATGATTATATATTTGAAGCTTGCAGAAATATTTCTGGAAGGTTTTGTCAGGAAATGACACATTGATTTTCTTTGTTCATTGTTTTGATAGTCAGTTTTATTAAATATGGGAATATCTTCATTGCAAAGCTGTATTCTAAAGGAATCTTATGGGTTGTTAAGCAATATATGGTTTGTGGCTTTGGGTATTTAGCAAGCACTCTCTGCGATGTCAGTTGATTCCCCTACTCTGTGAAAAATGGGTAGCATTAGCCATGATACAATATCTTTCTGAAATAACACAGTGGTTGAGAAGAAAAATGCCCCCCCAATGGAACTGGAGTACATGTTTTACAAAATTTGCAATGGTAGATCCTGAATGGAATTATAATGTATTGAAGGGAATATGCTGTCCAATCTTGTGCATCTTTACTTAGATGTAAGTCCCACTGAGGTCAATGGGAAAGACAAGTAAGGTTGCCAATCTCCAGGTTGGGCCTGGAGATATGGTATTATAGTTGATCCTTGGACTAGGGAGATCAGTTTCCCTGGAGAAAATGGCTGTTTTGGAGGATGAACTCTATGGCATTGTACCCTGTTGAGGTCCCTCCTCTCTGCAAACTCTGCCCTCTCCCTGCTTCACCCCCAAAATCTCTAGGTATTTCCCAAACCAGAGGTGGCAACCCAATTTAGAAGCATGCATAGATTTGTAGTGCAGTCTTTTTTAGAGTTACTCTAGACTAATAATATTTTATATTATTTGTGTAATACAGAGAAATTTAAGAATAGTGTAATTGTAGAATTCCACGAATGTCATGGAATTCTGGTAACATTACAACTTTTGGCTTCGTGTCTGGTAGAGCTCCAGAGATACCATCACCACTGCATCTGGGTCTAATTTCTGGTCCCATCCAGGCCATTCTGCTACATAGCACCTCTTCAGCAGCAAATAGCCATTTAGCAGGACACTTCTTGCAGAGTGCAGTGCTGTTTTGATCCCTGTTGGGACTGGTTTTGCCTGTTTAATTTTTATGGAATTTTTATTTTATTTGGCCAGAGTTTCTCTCAAACTTTTTTGATTGTGAGCCCTACAGGGACAGAAGTGTTCACATCTAGAAAGCTACTGTAAACCATTTATAGAATCGAGCAGAATATAAGTCTAATTCAATAAATACTAAAGTACTGTCATGTTTGAGAAGAATTTCTTGTGTTGAAAATACAACAGAGAACCGTGTTCTGATGAATCCTGAATATTCAAAGTCAGTTAATGGAATTCAAGTTTCAGAGCCCTTCCAAATGTTTGTCATGGAGAGAGATTGCTATTATAAAGGATCAACCAGTTTCCAGAGTCTTACTCAAAAAGTCTAGTTCCAGCCTCAGCGAATTTCAAGAAGACTTGCTTTGTTTCTGTTTCATAGTTAGGGTTAGTATGCAGTTTTAGCTTCATCTCTTCTTTATGCGTTGAGGCTTTTCTTAGGCCTAAAATAAGTGTTTCACAGCTGCAGTTGTCCATTTTTGTAGCCTGTACAGAGAGAACAGTGATCCATGCCAAACAGCAACCAGTTTCAGGGACACATCCCCATTCTATCCCCCCACCCCTAATCTCTGTGCATACCCTCTTTCTGTCATTGATTATTAATACAAGTAGGGTTGTTTATAAGCTATGATTTGCAAAATCCCCGCATAATTTGTGAGGGATTTTATTAACCATGGCTAACCCTAGGAAGTGTATGTCTTCTAAGCAGGTTCCCAACTTGCAAAGCATGGTTTACATAGAGCTAGCAGTAATACTTGCAACAGCCCATTTTGTTTGAAGATTAATCTTGTTATCCAAAGGCTACCAGGCAGATAACAATTTCTGAGGCTGTGTTTGATTATACCCTGACTTGGATGGCCCAGGCTAGATTGATCTCATCAGATTTTGGAAGCTGAGCAAGTTTGGCCCTGGTTAGTATTTGGATAGGAGACCACCAAGGAAGTTTGGGGTTGCTGCACAGAGACAGGCAATGGCAAAGTACCTCTAAACTTCTCTTTCCTTGAAAACCATATGGGTTTGCCAGAAGTCTACTGTGACTCGATGGCACTTTCCACCACTGTGTTTGACTATGACCCATGTAAACTGTTAGGAAGACGGCACAAGAAGAAGAAGAGATTGGATTTATACCCTGCCCTTCACTACCCAAAGGAGTCTCAGAGTGGCTTACAAACTCCTTTCCCCTCTCCTCCCCACAACAGACACCCTGTGCGGTAGGTGGGGCTGAGAGAGCTCTGACAGAAACTGCTCCTCTTCAAGAAAAGATGTGCCAGAACTATGGCTTGCCCAAGGTCATCCAGCAGGTGCAAGTGGAGGAGTGGGGAATCAAAATCCAGTCCTCCCAGATTAGAGTCAGCACACTTAGCCACTACACCAAACTGCCCCTAAACTTTATAACAAGGAGTTACGCAACAATCAAATATTAAAGCAACTCTTAAAATCTCTTAATAAATAAAAACTTTTAAAAAGAAAAAAAGTTTTTATTGTGGGGTGGGCAGCTTTCGTGTAGAGAACAAATCTACTAAGCTTGCCTAAACCCTTGGTGCACCAAGGGTATCTCTTTACAAGGGAGTTTGCCAGTGCAGTGGTTTCTGGAGTGGCAGACCTAGAAATGTACTGTAGCACTATTTTGGCATGCACCTCTCTTTTTCCTCCCTTCCTCCAAAGAAGGAAGTATTGATTTCCTATTCTCTATCTGTGGTGAGGCGTGCACAAGGACTGATTTTTATGAGTTTAATAGTCACTGAAAAGACCCCTGTGTTCAAAGTAAATCATAGCAGTGGCAAGGGCCTGCCTCCTTTCCCCCTGGAAGTACATATCACTACTGTCTGCCTTCCACATAGGAATCTATTGTGGGAAATATAAAGGCAATAGTCCTTTGGCACTTGTCTGGGATTCAGTGTGGTCAGTGATTGTGTCAAAACCATAAGCCTTATCTTTGTCCTCCTTTCCAAATGAAAATCCTTAGACATTTAGAATCATAGAATCCCAGAGTTGGAAGGGGCCATACAGCCCATCAACCCCCTGCTCAATGCAGGATTAGCCTAGAGCATCCCTGACAAGTGTTTGTCCAGACGCTGCTTAAAGACTGCCAGTGAGGGGGAGCTCACCACCTCCCTAGGCAGCTGATTCCACTGTTGCACAACTCTTACTGTAAAAAAAATTCTAATATCCATCTGGTACCTTCCTGCTTTGAATTTCAACCCATTATTGTGAGTCCTATCCTATGCTGTCAACAGGAACAGCTCCGTGCCCTCCTCTAAGTGACAGCCCTTCAGATACTTAAAGAGAGCCATCATATCCCTCCTCAACCTCCTCTTCTCAAGACTAAACATTCCCAAGTCCCTCAGCCTTTCCTCATAGGGAAATGATGAATGAAACCCATGTTTGGATAAATGAAAACCTAGCTACAGTAATCCACCCAATGGTCACCTCCAGGCTTGACTACTGTAACTCATTCTATGAAGGGCTATCCTTGAGATTGTCCCAGAAACTACAACTGGTCCAGAATGTAGAGGCACAGGACCTTACTGGAACCCAATTGACAACACACATTCAACCGGTTCTTTGCCAGCTGCACTGGCTCCAAGTTGAATACCAGAACAGGTTCAGCGTTTTGGTACTAACCTTCAGGGCCCTAAACCATCTGGGACAAATGTATCTATGAGACTGCCTCTCATAGTATACCCCCCAAAGAGCATTACTCTGGAGGAAAGAACCTGCTGGTGATCCCTGGCCTGAAAGATATCTGGCTGTCCTCAACCAAAGCCAGGGTTTTCTCAGCCCTGGTGCCAATGTAGTGGAACACCCT